GTTTCTAGATAGAAAAACAAGAGAGAAAAGGTGTGAAACTGTAGTGCACCTCCTCCTCACATTTCCTGCTAAAATGAGTAATCTCAGCTTTTACAAGGGCATGTTGTTTGGAGCTGGAAGAAAAAGTTTAGAAAAAGGTAGTTTGTTCTGAGGCAGCAAACTACTGCAAGAAAACAGACCATTTCAACTTCCCATCCCTACTGCCGGGCAGACACATGGGAATACACCTTTGCATGGTGGCTGGTACGTACCCAAAATAGCTGGGAAAGGGTATCTGCTCCTTCAAAGACACTAGGGAGCGTTATTTGCAATAACATTGTTCCACTGGGGTGATTTATCATTATGTATTTTAAGGAAAGGCACAGTTAGAATTACCCAGTTTTTCTTCCACAGCCCTCGTCTTCGGACCCAGTTTATATCAGGAGACTGAAAATGAAAGGGGCAAATCTTGCAAATTATCTGAGGCATCACAGAGACGGGGCGAGAGCCCCATGGGGACATAACCCCCGAGGCTAGCTGACCTCAAGCAAATGCTCAGATTTCCAGGCTTGGAGCACATTCACTTGGAGGGTAGAGGAAGCGGTGGCCTTTCCTCAGCTTTGGGCTGTAAGTATAAATGAAACGTAGCTATGGAAATCGTGTTCACTACGGTGTACACACAACATGTGTGCAGGTCCCATGCTTGCATCTGCAAAGAGGACAATTAGCTGCTTGTGTGAAATCAGGCGTGGAGCTCGATAATAGTTTTTAAGATAAGAGAAAGGCCATCTGCTGGCTGATGGGCTCGGGAGTCTGCAGCAATGGGTCTGAGCCTTGCAACACAGGGAGATCTACCAGGGAACTGGTGGAAGGACAGATACCTCCAGAGTGAGCTGTCCCAGCTGCGCGTGGCTTGGGGCCAGGACCTTCCCCACAGCAAAACCCACTGGTAGAGTGGAAGAAGCAATGCCATAACCAACATGCACGTGGAACCATCCCTGGGGGCATCTGGCCAGGGCAAGAGGGACATCATAGCTCCTTGAGTGACCACCCCTCTGCCCTGGTGCCTCTAGCCGGCATGCTGGTTGTCTTTTGCCTTTTACCTCCTTCCAAGTTCAATTAGAGCTAAATAACACCCCCCAAAGCTGCTTGCTGTGACCCAGAACCACATGGCAGGACCCAACTGCAAAAATACCTCATGCTGGCTCCTCTCACAGAGAGCAAACATAGCTAAATCTGATCCGGTCCAACCCGCCTCCCCAGCACCCATCTGCAACCCATCCTGGGAGACAGAGACAGGACTGGTAAACTGGAAGTAAAAAAAAGCCCCATAAATAGAGCCTTTTTGGGTGCCTTTCAATGGCCTGGAGTGCCTTTTTCTGGCCAAGGGTGAGATACTAGTTGGAAATACTCAGCTTTTCTAACAAACTCAGCAAAAGCAAGGTTGATATAGCTTGTTATACCAATATTATAAGTTAGTATCATATATTAACTATCTAAAGTCAGGCAATTTTCAACACAACAGTTGCCTATGGCCCCACATAAAAATCCTTTCCAAAACCACATGACTACACATCAAAAATGGTCTCATTTAAAGCTGAGGAAAGCTGTTTTACAGATTCCTGTGCAATGTAGTATATCGAAAGTTGCCTCAAAAATGAGAGAGGGTCATTCTTCTCTTCTGGGTCTGAGGCAGGATATTTCTAAGGGCTTCAAGTGATGAGCTCCAGGCATTTCTGCTGGGAGGGTCACTTCCCTTGCTACGCCCTTCCCATGGGACGAGCTGTCTCTGCTCCTCACCTGCTGCAGGTTGCGTGCCTGTGGCTGAGAGGAATTGCAAGATGATGCAAGAGCAAATCCAAGAGCAGTGACCTGCAGCAGAAGGGGATGTAACAGATGGAGCAAATGCCCTCTTCAACACGCCCCCCCGGAATATGCTGTCCAAGCCCAAAACCCGGATCTCCTATGTCCCTTATGCCACCTTATCGCTGGCTGAAAAAGCCCAGGATGAGGGAGGAGGGTGGGCTGTGCACAGAGGTGGTGCAGCGCAGTCCTAAAGAGCAGGAGGGAAGAACTGCCTGTTACTACATCTGGTAATGACTTTGTCTGCACATTGAGAGTACGAGTTGAAATCCCCACAAAAAGAAACCCAGCTATTGCAGATTTGAAGCATATAATTTCAGAGGAGTGTTTGTAGGAGCAGAAAACACATGGGCATACAGAAAGAGGAAAAGACAAAAATCAAATTATTCTTTGTAAAAGGCAGCCGTGCTAGAATTTGCCTACAGCATTCTCTATCCTGGAGCTTCATTTCTGCTCCCAGGAGCCCTGGAAGAGATCATTGAAACTGTAAGAGTCAAAACCACAAAAAGTGGGAAAATAAGCTCCCAAAACAAGCACAAGGCATTGAATCACTACTCTTGTTTTCCCCCTCCCAGCAAGCATGAGGAACAAGCTATATGCTGGAAGCAGGTCTGTGCAGGTGGCAGATGCTGGAGCTTGGTGGCAGACGCAGGACCACAGGACCCCCTGTGCTCTGATCCCAAAAAACAGATCCCACGCCGTGCTGCACGTGCACACACAGTCCTGGCAACTCAGCTCACCTCAGCCTACAGCATGGATTGCTGGTTTGCTTTTTTTTTTTTTTTTTTTTTTAACTCAAACATTCCTATTAGAAGCCTCAACCTACGCCGAAGAATTAAAAGCTAACTGTTACCTGCGGAAACTGGAAGGCAAAATACTAATCTTCAGTATTGCTTAAATAAAAGCTGCAGAACCGAGGATCTGGGAACCCAGTCTTTTACCTCAAAATGCCCCAAAATATTTGAGCGAGAGGAGCTGGGAGTTTTGCTGCCAGTGCTCACCGACGGGCAGGCACCGGCACAGCCAGCGATCGCCTCTCCCTAGGCACGGGGCCTGGCGACATATTGCAGAAGTGGCCCACACAGCCTGCTCGGGAGGAGGCGTCCCTGATTGACGGTTGTCTCCAAGACGAATGCCTTCGCACCCCTCTGGGATAACGGCAGCAAGCTTCCCCGGCAGCTGGGCGAGGGAGGAGGCACGCTGCGAGGTGGGGAGGGAGCAGGGAGCCCTCGGGGTGTGCAGGTGCAGGCAGGAGCTGCCAAAAACCACTGCACCGCCTTCATTAGCTCATGCGGCTCCTCTGCCGTGGCCTCAAAACCCCATAAAGAGGAGGGGTGAACCGTCACCAAGCAGGTTTTGTCCAGAAAGCCGGGCAAGGCTGGGGCATGCATGAAGGGGAATCGCTGGCGAAGCAGCAGGAGCAAGCCCGTACCCCTCAGTGCAGCAGCGGTTTCACACTGGCGGGGCTTTTTTTGGTGATGCCAGCGTTACTTTGCCGTTCAGCCCCTCCTTGTCTGCAGTTTCCAAACTTCAGAGACCTACACACAATGGTTACTTGAGTGGGCAAGCATCCTGCCCACACTGACAAGAGAAGGACAAACTGGTGTGAAACTTTCTTCCACCTCCAACTCGTTCCCAGCCAGGCTTCAGCGCTTGGCTTGACCCACGCAGCAGAGAAAGCTGCCAGGTTCCATCCGAAACCCTGGCTACAGGCATAGAAAGTCAGAGATTATGCATGCTGTGGCAAACAAAATTCAGCAACAAGTTTTCCCCCACAGGAAATCTTGAGAAGAAAAGCCAGGGAAGCTGGCAATAGGAATCACCTGAGAATTTCAGCATCACTGCAGCTCCAGTCCTGGAGAAGATACTTTTCCCCTCAGTGACTCAAAAGTCAGTCTTCATCAGGAGCAAATCTCCCCAAGCCCAAATGCAGAACTGCTGGGCACAAGTTGAACGTGCGTCTGTCTTTGCAATTTCATCTCTCTCTCCCATGCTATCTCCTGGGGTACACCTAAGTTCCCCCTAAATTTAGGGGGCAAAATGAATTTTTTATTTCCTTTGATCTTCTGCACTGTGACCACTTCTTTTCAAACCACGTACTATTTTCGTAGAATCATATCATAGAATACCAGGTTGGAAGGGACCTCAAGGATCATCTGATCCAACCTTTCTTGGCAAAAGCATGGTCTAGACAAGATGCCCCAACACTCTGTCCAGCTGAATCTTAAAAGCGCTTGATGCTGGGGAATCCACCACTTCCCTGGGGAGATTATGCCAATGGCTGATCATTCTCCTGTGAAAAATTTTGCTCTTGTGTCCAGTTGTAATCTCCCCAGGAGTAACTCGCACCCATTACTCCTTGTCTTTTCCATGCAACTCCTTGTAAAAAGGGAGCCTCCATCTTCTTTGTAGGCAACCTTTAAATACTGGAATATGGTGATAAGGTCTCCCTTAAACCTTCTTCGCTCAAGGCTGAACAAACCCAGTTCTCTCAGCCTTTCCTCGCATGGCAGGCTGCCCAGTCCTTTGATCATCTTGGTGGCCCTTCTCTGGACCCTCTCCAGCCTGTCCACATCTTTTTTGCATAATGGGGACAAAAACTGAACACAGTATTCCAGATGTGCCCTGACAAACGCTGAGTAGAGTGGGATAATGACGGCTTTATCTCTGCTGGTGGTGCCCTTGCTGATGCAACCCAGCATCCTGCTAGCTTTCCTTGACACAGCAGAACACTGTTTGCTCATTCTGAGCTTCTTGTCCACCAGGATCCCTGGGTCCATTTCCATAGAGCTGCTCTCCAGCTGGGTAGACCCCAGCCTGTGCTGCACTCCTGGATTATGTTTTCCCAGGTGCAAGACCTTACACTTGTCCTTGCTGAACTTCATAAGGTTCTTGTTAGTCCACTCTTCCAGCCTATCCAGGTCTTCGTGCAGGGTGGCTCTCCCTTCTGACGTGTCCACTTCCCCACTCAGTTTGGTATCATTGGCAAACTTCAACAGGATACACTCGACCCCATCATCCAGATCACTTACAAAGATATTAAACAGCATTGGGCGCAGTATTAATCCCTGGGGGACCCCACTTGTGAGAGGCTGCCAGTTTGACAGGGAGCTATTTACCGCCACCCACTGGGTATGGGCTGTCAGCCAGCTCCTCACCCACTGCACGGGACCCTTGCCTAGACCATCACCCATCAGTTTCTCTAGGAGGTGGCTGTGGGAGACCGTATCAAAAGCCTCAGAGAAATCCAGGTAGACAACATCCATTGCTTGCCCCACATCAACTGAGCAGGTTACTCTGTGGTAGAAGGCGATCTGGTTTTATCAAGCACGATTTGCCCTTGGTGAATCCATGCTGGCTTTTCCCAATCATGTGCTTCATTTGACTTGAGACAGCCCCCAGGAGGATTCGTTCCATAACTTTCCCAGAGACTGAAGTAAGACTGATGGCCCTGTAATTGCTTGGGTCCTCCCTTAATCCCTTCTCATAGATGTGGGTGACATTAGCCCTCTTACAGTTTTCTGGGACGTCCCCCAATCTCCACGACTTCACAAAAGTTATGGAGAGCGACCTCGCAATGACGTCAGGCAGCTCCCAGCACCCTCAGGTGGATAATATCAGGGCCCATCCATTTGTAGGGTTCAAGCCCCTGTAACAGTTCACATACCAACTCTTCCTTCACTGACGGAGGGTCTGTGTTTGCATCGACCTGGATTTTCGTTCCCAAGGCCTGGGGGCCCAACAGTGCTGGTAAAGACAGAGGTGAAGAAAGTGTTGAGAACCTCTGCCTTCTCAGCGTTGTTGGTGCCTGCTTCATCTCTCCTGTTTAACAGAGGGCAAATATTTTCCTTCTGTTTCTGCTTGTTGTTTATATACCTGAGGAACACTTTCTTGTAGTTTTCAATATCTCTGGCCAATTTTAATTCGAGCTGAGCTTTTGCTTTCCTAACTGTATCTCTGCACTCCCTGGCAATGCCCTTGTAGGGTGTTCATCTGCTTTTCCATCTCTGGTATGCTTCTCTCTTGGTTTTGAGCAGACCCAGAAGCTCACAGTTAAGCCCAGGGGGTCTCTTGCTCTGCCTACTTCCCTTACCTTTACAGGGGATGAACTGGTTTTGTGTGTTCCTGAAAAACTCCCAGCGCTCGCCAGCTGCTTTATCCTCCATGGAGCTTTGTTGAGCTTTGTGATTAATTCCTTAGACAATTTTCATAGAAATGTGATTTAAGCAAGGAAAATGAGTCCCAATTCATCCAGATACAACAGAGAAGCAAAGAAACTGAAGATAGCACCAGAAAAAAACAACCAACCCAACACAGAAAGATAGATGCCTTTGCCACATTGCAGGCTAACAGCAGGCTGACACATGCAGCAAGAGCATGATAGAATACAGACACTTATCTTGAGCAACACAGAGTCTGGCCAACATGAGTCAATAAGAGCAAGGCACCCACCAGCCTGTTTGGAAGACAAAGGAGATTTCTGAATGGGTCTGGTAGCTGAGCTCTGCTATGCCTGTGCACAAATCCTGTTGCCTAGGGGCTGACATTTGGGTGGGAGACACAGGCTGCTTTCCCTGCTCCGGGGCTCTGCTGTGCTGCTGAAGAGAGACTGATGTTCCCCATAGCTGCGGAGGGCCACAGAGAAACCCTCTGAAGCACCGCATCAAAGGCTGGAGTTCAAAAGATGACTTCTCTTCCCTTATTCTTGGTGCCTGCAGAACCAGCATTAACCTCCACCATGCTCTTCAGCTTTACAGGCTCTTCCAAAAAAACCCACAAAAAGAGCACATTAAACTGGCACAGTACGTACGAGGCGACAGCAAGACCCCTTGCAGTAAAGTCTCTGTGTGATGCAGAAGGAATTACCCGCACGATTCCATTCCCGCGAATCCCACAGCATCACGCTGTCAGGCAGCGGAGCACCGCACGGGGGGTGTTGTGCTGCTGCTGCCAGAGCATGATTTCCATTAGTGTTAATAGGAACTACTGACAGCAGCAGCAGCCAAGAAGCCAAAAAGCCTCCAATCTCGATGATCGCCTCTGATAAGTACAGAACTGCATTAAGTCAGTCCCAGCAGCTGTACCACGCAAATGATCGTGGCGGTGAGCATGAGAAAACAGCCAGGACTCAAGTTCAACAGGCTCCAAAGGAGGGCTGGATCCCAGTTGGGATGAGGAATCAGAGCCGGAGCGGTGCAATCGGCCAGCGAGGTGTCAGCAATGGCACAAGCCTACCCCTGGTCCAGCATCCACGTGGCAGCTGGTTGCAGTCCTTGGGAACAGGCTGGAAGGAACCAGGTGGCCACCATTTTCTTGCAGCTACTGCAGGACCAACTATTGCCAACAACCGCCAAAGTCCGTGGGATGGGGCATGGAGGCTGCATTTCTATCCCCCATGGAAACACAAGATGATTCACAAGAAAAGCATAGGCATGGAAAAACAAGGGCTTCGAATCACAAGATAATACAAGAAACGTAGGGTGGTCCATGAGAAAACTACAGGTATGGAAGAACAGGGGCTTAAAATCAGAAGGTGTTGTT